ATGAATATGGCTAACAATTATTAATTACTATTTCATCATTTCAAACAACTAGTCCAAATTATTAATTTTAATCCCTAATTTTCGGTCAATAAGTCAATCCATATTCCTTTAGTCAATTCATGCCCAAACAAATTTAACTCATAAACATCATTTTTTCATTTAACAATACAATGAATAAATTCAACATTAACAAGGAATTAAGCATGTATAATAGCGAAAATTAAACAAAAATAATATTCTGCCAAAATAAACTTGTAGAACTAAAATATCACCTTATGGAATTTTTCCCGAATTTTATAACCTAAAATCCAATTTTAACAACTAATTGATAATTTTCCCAATATTAACTAGAAAATACAAAAAAAGCAACTACAAATATTCTAAATTCGTTCTAAATTTTATATTGACTACTAGGAGTGATATTACTGTGAATTAAACTAGAATTAGGACAGAAACTAATTTTTTGCCTTTTTTGAGTATTTAATTTAATTTATGCAATAATAACAACTAAATACCGGAATTAATTAAAATTTACTTCTACTTCGTAAAAATTAACTTTATTTTGATAAATAACTACCTTGAGTCTAGTAAACAACTATATAATTAATTGGAATGGATTTAATGTCAACAACTATTTTATTCAAATTTAAGAAGAAAATGCGAAATAGTGGAATAATTTTCTGAAAATTTTAGAAGCACAGATAGAAAAAAACTAAGTACAGATTCAGATTCTACTCATTGAAAGGATGAAAATACATATAAAGAACTCACAATTTGGAGCTAAAATGAGAAAGATATGAAAGATTGAAGTTGAAGGTGCAACAATGGTGGAAATCCGAGCTTTGAAGAGGAAGAAGACGCCCTTTTTGATCTGATTTGGGCTTGAAATTGGTGTGTTTGAGTTCAGCAAAAATCGGGCAATTTATAGGAAAAATTTCCCCGAAGGCGGCCAACCAGGCGGCCGCCTTCCGCCTCTCTCCGGCCGCCTTCCGTCCTCGTCGCCGACAGCGGTCGGTGGCCGGTCTCCGTCAGCCGTAGGCGGCCACAGAGGGCGGCCGCCTTCCGCCACAAATGGCCGCCTGCCGTCTTGTCGTTGGCAGATCGGATCCTGGCGGATCCCGGCGGATCCCGGCCGCCGCAGGCGGTCCAGCAGGCGGCCGCCTGCCGTCCTGTCTGGCCGCCTGCCGTCCTGTCTGGCCGACCGGTGGTTGGTTTCGTCCCCTGTGCCGCAGGCGGCCACCGAGGGCGGCCGCCTTCTTCCTCGTGTCGGCAGCCTTCGGTCTTTTCCTGGTCCCGAGTCAAAGCGAGGTTGACTTCTGATTTTTCCCGTAGGCGGCCAACCAGGCGGCCATTTTGGGCGCCTATTTGGGCGCCTTCTGCCACTTTTGTCTGGCAGATGCGGCTTTTCCTGCTCTTCAACTTTGTCTTCTGAATCACCTTGATAAAATGCTTGCTTCTTCCGGTATAAATGCATTTGTCACTCAAATTGACTCATTTTGTGCTCAATTGACCCGAAATCCCGCTAAACATATTATGGATGTGATTTTTACCTGATTTCATGAAACTTGAACCAAAATATATAAAATGTGTCTTTTCTTTCTATTTTCATTCAAAAATCGCTTAAATTTGATAAGAAAAATAAGTACAAAAATGGACTTATCACCAACCTTTCAAATGCATCTCAACATGGGTTATTCCCCCGGAGTCACTTAAGGCTTCAAAAGATCATGCATAACAAATTAATGATTGATTAAAAATACCCTTAACCAACCAGAATCAGACCATCAAATCTGTACATAACCCAAACCCTCCTACAGATGCAATATCATTATCCCGAATTCCGGATGTAATGACCTTTTCATCTAGATCATCCTTGAAACCCCAAACCTCGAGTACACAACACAAAGTAAAGGATAAAGAGGTATGTTCAGAGCTGGCTGCTTCAGATGGTAAACCAAAATTCCAAGTGGGACAGACTCCGCAAAACCATACCTTGACAAAACTGCAGCTGCCTCCCAGGTTACCTATTGCACCTGACATTGAGATGGAAGTGCCAAGTCTTACAGGCTCGATTAAAACCATGAATGATCAGTTGCTACTCATCAAAGAAAAAGAAATCACAACACCGAATGACCAAATGATGCACGAGAAGGACCAAGCAGGGACATCCCACTACCACTTGGTAACCACAACGAAGTCTCTTTCCGCATATTGTTATACGTATTTTATGGATTTAAATATCTTTACTTGGAATTGTAGAGGTGCAGGTAGTAAGCGGTTCTCGCGTGTGTTCAAAGAACATCGCATAAAGTATAACCCTAAGATAGTAATTATTGTTGAACCTCGTATTAGTGGAGACACGGCCCAAGAGGTCATCACTAAAATGGGATTTGATAAAAATGATTTTGTTGATGATGTTGGGTTCTGGGGGGAGGGGGGGATTTGGCTGCTCTGAAGGGGCATCTTGTTTAATAGTATGAGTATTGGATCAACCTCTACTTTTGGTAAATTCTTATGGTCAAAAAATAAAATCCAGGTAAACATGTCCTTTACTAATGCATCCTTCATTGTATCATTTTAGAAGTCCATAGAGCTAAGTCAGCCTCTACAAATAATTAATAATTTTTTTAGGCTCTGGGTGATCTGATTTCTCTTTTTTGTGATAAAAACATTCTTTGACAATGACAATCAGTGGCTTTAGACCTTAAATGTTTTCAATTTGGGGTGAGTTGAGGAAAGAATCATTCATATCAATTTTATACATCAATTATATAGGATTGACTGGCATGAGCTAGCCCCTATACCCATGCTTCTGGTAGGTATGAGCAGACATTTCAGGTTTATTGCAATTTTCCGTCATGTTTAATTTAACGAATTGGGTGGAGGGTCAATACTGAATGAGAACCAAACTATGTTTGGTTTGGATTTGTTATTATTTTTATTGAGTTCTCTTTTATCATTTTTTGCTTTATTTGGTTGTAATTTGTTAATCTTTATTTTAAGCTACACAAAAGATAGTTGATGGACCATCAATGAAAGATTGGAGGACAGGGCATGGTTTTGGGCAAAACATAATGCCCAGCCGTCTCAGATCAATTACCGTACACAGGTATAAATGATAGTCCAATCCAATGAAGTGTGTGTTATTTATATTGTCATATTTTCTTTCTCCATGGTCGGCTTAAACTTGCAAGTGTACAAGTGCCGATGTAGTAATAAAATCCGGTAAAAATACCGAGTCGAACACGAGGAAACGTTGTTTATATGATTCAAAAGTTTAGAATAGAATTTGTAAAAGACTTGGTAAAAGAGTATAGATTTGTTTTGGTTTTCAAGTGATAAAAAGAGCAACCAAGGGTTCGGGATTACTCCTAAACGACTCCTAGCGATTAATGTATATTCTTTTCACCAATTCTTATGAGTGGAATGTCGCTAAAGTATTCTAACTCCTGTTACGGCAGCGAGATTGTGATTAATTCTACGTGTGAATCCCGTCACGGTTCACATTCATCTAAAATTAACCCCATTGAAGATTATGATATTATTAAAACCACCATATTCAATTGAGGTATATTTCTATCCACAATTAGAATATGTCTATCCTTTAAGTGCACGGTTTATAATTCAACGTTAATTGCTCAAATAAACCCAACGATATAATCATACGTTGTACACCGTAGTCATACACATTAAAATATAAAGGAAAGATCATAATAATTTGGTTGAGAACATACATCAAACACTTAGAGTGCGTAAAGTTTCATCCCTAACCTTGACTATGGAAAATTAGCTAGAGCAATTCATAATGAAATTACAAGTATTGAAATGATAAAATACAATGAAATACATAAGAAAATGATACCACAACTCCAAGCTATGGTGGACAATGGAATCCCCAAGTGTAGAACTTCTCCCAAGACCAAGGGGTTGATCTTGGAATGCTAAAGTGGAAGTAAAGTGTATGGAATATGGCCTCCTTTGTTGAGAGGGCTTCAACATGCTTAAATATTGAGCTCCTAACGGCCATTTTTGGACAAGGAAGCAAGCTCCTTAATGGGATTTGGAGCTTCTCTCGAATGATTGTGATGACCGTTGCTTGTTTTAATCAGTTCCAGACGAAAGGCGGGCGACTTTCGCAAAAGCCAGGCGGCTTTTGCGCGTTTAAAATAATCTTCCTCCGCTCCAGGGGCTGAAAACCGGGCACCTTTTGCCAAAAGCCGGGCGGCTTTTGGTTTGATTTATTGGATTAATTCTGCGGCGACGAAAGTCGGCCGGTTTTCACGAAAGCCGGGCGGCTTTCGTCCCTTCTTGTTCCGGATGCCTTTTTCTTCTCTTGGACGTGGAAAATGGGCTGGTAATCAAAGGCCGGCCGCCTTTGGCATAAGCCGGGCGGCTTTTGCTCGTCTTGTGCCTTTTTTTGGACTTAGTTTGTTCCTCGGGATGCGTTTGGTTGAGCTTTTTCCGTCAGTTTTCTTCGTGTGTAATCTATCATCCTTGTATTTGATCCAATCATCAATTTAAAGCACTTCTAGCAAAACGAGGCATATGTGTGAAGATTTTATTCTTTTTAAGCATAAAAGCGTTTTAAGATGAATATATAAAACACGTTAATAAAACGCTTATCACTCCACGTCTGTTTTAGATCATATAACTCTTCCTCTTTGCGTATTTTTACTCACAATTATTTCCTCTATTAATTTTATTTGCTTAGTCTAAACTCCTCCATTATTATTAATGTTTGCAAGTTGTAACACTTTTCTCATTTGTTACGTTGAATGTGCCATACTTTTTTTGCCTGAATAACTTTTGAAGCAACATTGATACTTTTGTTTCCAAAACTAAGATAGGTAGAGATCATATTTTTTTATATCAAAACCAAAACTTTATTAAGGAAAGAAGCAGGGAAATTACAAGGAAAAAACGAGAAGAAAAATGGAAAAACAAAAAACAAAAAGAAATCAAACAACCCAACCCAAATAACAATAAAGAAGACCCCCCCCCCAAGAAGCCCCTAACACTCATAGTCAGTACTCCAACCGAGTTTGTGATCTAGTCTTCATATGATGGGACCGTTGATATTTTTTCCTGTATATCTTAATTTGAGTGTTCAAATTCCCTGTAGGCAAGCAGTTTTTTGGCGTGATAAAAAAAGCTTTATTGCAAATATCATTATTCGTCTCAGAGTCCCAAAGATCGTCCATCGATGAAATAGGAGTTCTTTTCTCGCTCTCCGATGCGTGGCCCAGAAAATCATCCCCAAAGTGTTCATAGAGCTGCTCGCCACAGACCCCCTCACTTACAAAATCTTCAGAATTATCTGTAAAAAAATCCCCTAGTATTATCTTCTCGCTCTCTGATGCACACTTAGTAATTTTCCCATCTTCAGCAGGTCTCTCCTGATTTCCTAAAGAGTCAGCAAGGATTCTTTTGAATTCTTTGAGTAGAAATTGGGAGAGAGAATCAACCCCGTTAGTCATAGTAGTCTCAAAAAAATCCTTTATAATTGCGAATGAAGGGTCAGGAACGGGAATTAGTTCAGAATTATTAACGTCCTCAATAGCAATCATCTCTAAAGAATTCTTAGCAGAACCGCAATGCATAATATCCACCTGCAAAAATGCTTCTGAGATTGAAGAGTGATAATTATCCTCATCCCTTCCTTGCGACAGAGGATCCCAATCAAAAAATGCACTTGTGTTACCCGATAAAATTTCATATGTAGCACATCCAATCGTCTGCATTGGCTCCTTACTTGTGCATCCAATCATTAAAGTAATTGCTCTTGAAATCACAGACAGAAAACAATTAATTCCAAATGCATTTCTTCCTTCAGGTATAAATAGAGAATTGCCACGCTTCTCAATAATTCGAATAAGCCTCCAAAAAAATTAGCATCATGAAGGATAACCGTGGAATTCAATTCTAATCTAGAGCAAGCCCATGTACCAGAAAAAAATTGGGGATAGAGGTCTTTAACCAAGAAGCCTTTACCAAATCAAGGTCAATAACAGTAGTGATCCCATGTTTCATTTCAGAAATACACAGTGCATTGCTATTAATTATATGAAACCGAAAGCATTTACTCTCAATTGAAATTTCACACCCATATGGGGTAAGCTCATACCTTACTAGATTGTGCTTTTTCTGTTTTGTAGCCGTAATCTTTGCCTGGACGTGCGTTTCCCCTGAGCATATTGGCCCTGTTGTGCTTAAACTTTCTAGTTTCAGCCATATTCTTCCAATTCAGCCGAGGTGTTGAGGACTCACTGCCGGAGTAAAGTGTCCTGTAGCCTAGAAGTCTCTTCTTTTGGCGAGTTGCAGGTCGCCACAAACCCTTTCGATGTGGAGCCACCCCTGTGAGAGGGTAAGCAATCCTCGGAGCTGAAGTTCCGTCATCAGCACTGATTAAGCCGCGTCCGTTGGATGGGGTCCAGATTTTGTCCGGTTGCGGTCGCCTCCACTTCCGCCGAAGCCAAACGCGAGACACTGTCGTTACTCTCGTTGAATTTTCGTTGTGGTCGCAGATCCCATCTGGTCTCATCTGCAGAATGAGTTTTATCTCTGATTTCCTCTGTTCCTGGGACATTTACTGAGAAAGATCCGAAAAGGAGAGGAAATCCTTCCGCCCTACTGCTGGTTGACGCACCGGCGTCACCGCCAGGAAGCCCTGGAATCACCAGCCCTAAGTCTCCTATCTCGGGTCTTCTTTCCTCACTTCTTTTTTGATAGGTAGAGATCATATAAGTAGTGTTTTCTATGGGAATAATTAAGTTGGCTCCAGAGGCAAAAGAAAAAACGACTAATTAGCGTCTAACATTTTCTCATGGCCTGTTTTACTCACTTTCATCAAATTCAATATCTTAAATGTGCTTTATACGCATTAGTACTAAATTATCTAAAACAAATGACTGATTTCATTCTCGAATTCCCTAGTTGCTTAATTTACTTACTTAGTTTAAATTTGTTGCCTCGATTCTAATGTTTGCAAGTTCGAAACACATTAGACATTTAGCGCGTAAATTTCCTGTATTATTTTTGTCTCAATCACTTTTGAAGTCGCATTAATACTTTTTCCTAAATGTTGGGAAGTCGGGACTGGCCGTACATATTAATTAATCTTATTCCTTGTAATTAGCTTTTGGGCTGCGGCCACTTTACCATAGATAGGGCTTTGTATCTATTATGCCTTGTATAAATACACTCATACGTATCAATGAAGGAGGAAGAAGAGATTGATTCCAAAATAGCCAATCATAACATGGTATCAGAGCGTGCGAATATCATTCGCTGATTTCGGTCCTGCATATCGCCATAGCAGAACGACGCAGCACCAGCGCGCGTGAGTGTCGCGAGCTATGGGGGTTGATAACACACCGAGGCTAATTCTGGCCTCACCGTTCTACTTGAGCTCTGGAGATCAAACCAGCGATTTAATTACCCACGTTCCAGCCCAAGGACACGCTGCCGGGGAAGTTCGTGCGCACGCAGTTACTGCACTGGAGCCTCCAGCGGCGACGGCACCAGAATCTTCCCAACAGGTTCAGACACTCTTGCATACGATTAATACTGAAACATGTTCCACAGACCGCATGTCAGGTAAGAACCGTAACTTAGATTGGATAATCGACACCGGTGCATCCCGTCATGTAACGGGTGATTTGAAGCGGCTTACAAATGTGGTTCGAATTCGTGATTGTGTGGTGGGTTTGCCCGATGGGCGTTCTGTTGTTGCTACATTGGAGGGACGTGTGTCTCTTTGTGATAATCTTGTCCTTAATGATGTCCTCTACGTTCCCAAATTGAACTGCCACCTTATTTCAGTCTCTCAATTGACTGATCAATCAACATGTATTGTTACTTTCACTAATTCTTTGTGTGCTATACAGGACCTACCCTCGAGAAACCTGATTGGAGCCGGTGAGAGACGGGATGGGTTGTTCTATTTCCGCTATATTCCTGCTGTGCACGCTGTGAGAGTGCCTGCTTTGACAGATTTTGAGCTTTGGCATCGAAGGTTGGGACACCCGTCAGACCGGGCGTCTAGTAATTCTAAAAAATCCCTAAATGAAGCTTGTGTGATTTGTCCGCAAGCGAAACAAGTTCGTGACTCTTTTCCCACTAGTGACAATAAAGCAACTCATATTTTGGATTTAATTCATTGTGATTTATGGGGTCCTTACAAGACTCCGTCTACTTGTGATGCTATTTATTTCCTGACTATTGTCGATGATTATTCTAGAGCTGTCTGGGTTTATCTGCTGCGTGACAAAAAAGAGGTGTATAAATATTTTCTATCATTTTTTTCTATGATTGACGTGCACTTTGTCGTGGTGTGCCGTCAAAATAAATATCAATACAACACTTATACGTAGTATAGCGTAGTAAGGTTCGTATCCACAGGGAAAGGAATACTTTTCTTTTTATAGAACTAGTAACAAAATGGGGGGTTTTAGTTTGATTTGGTTTAATAAATTAAATACGAAGATGAACGAGTTATGTGGTTTAATTAATGAGAAGAAGACTTGGTTTTGCTTTTATCCACTTAATGAAATGTTCGTCGATCCCGATTATATCTTTAACTATCTTCCTCTCGAATACTCAATCGAGGAGTATATCCAATTCATCGAGGGTAGTTATTAATAACGAGACGCGTTCATTAATAAAACTTACTACCGCGTTAATATAGAACACGCGCCGTATATTCACTCGATAGTAGCAATAAAATCAAGATGAAAACGATTGAGATTGATAACCTCAACACAAGCGGTTTATTGGTTTAATCAATATAATTAATTCCCCTTGGCTTATTAACCATGAAACGCATGCATTAATAACCCAAGTTTACTACCGTGAAAGGACCGAATTAATAACAAGCGTATTAATCGACCGATTCTAGTAATAATTAATATATGAAACAAAACTAGTTGATCCTTTAAGTAATGTTCAAAATATTAATATGAAATATGAATAGGAATTAATTAATACTCAAGGAAGAATATTAAAGAAGGTGAATCCTACTATAGTTAATATCAAGATGTTAACTAATTGTCATCTTAGTAACACTCCCCAATATTAACATAGAGGAAGAAATAGCTATTACTATAACTAATGTCAAGATGTTAACTAATTGTCATCTTAGTAACACTCCCCAACATTGATATAGAAATAGTATTTAAAGGAAGAATTAATATTCAAGGAAGAAGATTAAAGAAGATAACTCACAACTTACAAATTCATTAAGCTTCAAAGTAGCAAAACCAAGATGGAAGAGTTTAGCTCCTCATTTGGAGACTAAACATGATAGAAAATATAAAGAAAACTGATGGTCCCAGATAGGGTAAAAGTCTAGAGGGGGGGGTGAATAGACTTTTAAATCTTTTTCCAACTTTATGATGTTTTCCCTCTAGAAAAGTTGATCTATAATCTTTTGAGAGATTAATAGATGCACAGCGGAAGTCTTTACCCTTTATGTGATGAGTGTTTGACCACTTTCTAATTTGGGAAGATTGGACTTTGAACAGTGAGCAGTTGGCTTGGCAGTTGCCTGGATGGCAGGAAACTGCTGAGGCAGCTGCTAGTGGAAAACAGGAGTTTGGAACAGATAATTATGTGGCCTTGTGCAGAATGATGAGGACTTTATGAATATGTGTAGAGCTAAAGAGAATAAGAAGTTTAGCCTGAGCAGAGGTCTGAGCAGTTGGGTAGACCCAGGGAACTGCTAAGCCGCCTGCTATCTATGAAAGGAGTATTTCTGAGAACTGGCAAGCCAAACCGTTTAGTAGTGGTATTCCAAAGCTCGTGTGAAACAGTTGTCTCAAAGAAAAGTGAGTTATTAAGCAGTAGGATAAGCAGTAGAGTCAATTAAGACTACTGCTTAGGATGCTGCTGGCAAACTACGATCCTTTTAGTGAGAAGTGTTGGGTGTGAGCTCTGCTGAGTGAAAGTAAAACAACACACGATATATCCTGGTTCAGAGGTGGTGTAATCCTCCTACATCCAGTCCCACCCTCTTTCAGATGGATTTCACTAAAGTATTCAGCCCAATACACTTAGTGCCAATCTAGCCTTTACAACACTTAGGCCTAGATTGAAGGTTTTTCACAATGAGTATAACACCACTCAAAGTTACTCAGTCCTTAGACTTTTCTCAATTGATCCAGTGGGGATCAAAAGGTACTCTATCTATCTAACTACACTTTAGGATCCGAACAACTGTTCTCCTAAGTGTTTACAACCACTTGAATAATACAAGAAAGTTCTAACCTCCAACTATGAACTAAGCTCTAAAAATGTGAATGTGTTGATCTAATCTAAGAGCTTAGTGAAGCATGAGGCTAAGCAGAGAGTAAAGTTGAGTTTGCACTTTCTCTTTTGCTAGATAGCTCGTATATGCTTTGATGAAAGTATTTCTCTACTTAGGATGCTCAAGCTTGTTTTAGAACTCATGCTTCTACCTATATTTATAGGCCTTCATGGTTGATCAATCTCATCCGTTGGTTGAGATGGATTAATCTTGTGCGTTGAGGGTCTGGCAAGGACGAATTGTACATTTGTCTTCTTGTGCAGGAGCTTTTAATATTTTTGTTTTCTGTCTTGAATGATTGGGCTGCGGTATGGGTGTGTCTTCAGCCGCTGCAGCTTCACTCCAAGAAGTCCTCCCATGCTGTAGGACCGTGTATTTAATTTTTGTCTTTCAATCAATATTCAAAGTATTCGAGCATCTCAAATGTGACCTATATTTAATCTTTGAGTAGAATGATATATGCCGGTAGGACATGAATATCCTATGAAGGTAAAAAGTTACCTTATTGCATTTTTATGTATCCGGTAATATATCATTAATCTTAAAGATTGTACATTTATTTTTGTCACTTATGATTTAAATTTAAATGTTACTTCTGAAAATAAGAATCAATGTAAATTTGTTTAGTATAGTGGCATCATCAAAATCTATCAAAATTGGAGACTAACAATTTCCCCCTTTTTGATGATGCCAAAACTATACAACACAAGAAACAACTGTTTTTATTGATTCGTATTGAGAGTATTGTACATTGGTCTATAGTCTAAAGTACAATAATTTTTAGTCACTTTCGGACTTAAGAACTGATCTATTCTTGTTTCTTCTTAGCAGCTTCTTCCTTGGCTTTGGCTTCTTCTTCCTTTCTTCTTCTTATCTCAGCTTCTTCTTTGTAGAGTTTGTTTTTCCTTCTTGTTGCAGCTGCTTTCTTTGCTGCTGCTGATCTGGAGGAGGAGGGACCTGCTTGAGTTGTCCTTTCCCCCTTTTTGGCATCATCAGCAGGGGTCTCACTCTCTTTGAAGAGTGCTTCTATTTCTGGGTCAGAGTCAGGATCTTCAATTTGCCTCCTTGATGGATTCAGACCATATACTTCAATGGACAGGGCCTTGATATGATTATTGATGTCTACAAGATCTGTTTTTACCTCATCTTTGACTTCGTGTTCCAAGTTCTGAAGTTTGTGTTTTGTCTGTGCCAAGTCTTGTCCTAGTTTCTGGAAGTCCTTGCCTTGCTGCCAGAAGGTTTCTTGAGTTCCTTTGTGGAGAACTTGGAAGTTGTGAGCAATGTCCTTAGTGAGCTGTTCATAGGCTTTAGCATGAGCCTGCTGCTCCATAAGGAATTTCTGAGAGAGCTTGAACATGGCAGGAAACTCCTCATTTCTTAGTTTCATGAGGTACTTTTCATGTTCCTGCACCTTTTTAAGAGCCTGATCGAGGTTAGGTGGAGGAGAAGTTAGGGAAGGTACCTGATGAGATTGTCCTGCTTCAGTTGGCTGACCCGGTTGCAGTCTTTGT